AATACATTAAGCAATGACATCACAATGTACACACTTTCAGTGCCGGAGTGAGTCGCATCTTTATTATGAGGCCAGCTGCCACTTGCAATATAATTACTAGTTTAATATTATTTTTTAATTGTAGACATTACAGGCGATAACCAAAGCGCAGAATCATTAATAACAGCACAAGCACAACAAATCTATTGTCAACGAGCATTTTCTGATGAGTTTCATCAGTTCACAGAAATTTGTATGGAAAAGCGACCAGCAAACCGATGGTCTGCGCTGCAATTATTGAATCACTCTTTCTTTAAGCACTGTCGTCACACGAGCATTTTGGATCAATTGAAGCGTTTTGGTATGGAGGTAACTGACTATGATGGTCTAAGAGGTACTGGAGCAATGAAAGTATTATAAGTAAATCCTTTTTATTTATGTGAGTCGCTGATTTTTTCAGATCACAGCTTAGCTGCTTCACATGATATGAGCGAATTAAGCTTGAAACACGATTGGAGCTGGGATTTTTAGACAAACTACTTACCAAATACGATCGCACAAATATATAAACTAAAACAATGCGTTGCGTGCGAGTAAAACGGAGGAAGCCTTTCCAAAGTCACTTATAACATTAAGTTTATTTTGATAATAAAGCCTTTAAATCAGTACATAAAATATTTTTATTTGGCAATATTAAAAAAATATTTTTTTCCCTGAAGGAATGAATTACTTAGTATTTATTTTTATATGTTTCAAATATATAAATTATTTGTTAAATTTAAAAACAAGTATTTACTTTTTCTCAAAACAAATAAGTACGAGTACTAGTAGTGACTACATATGTATATAAAAAATATTAATAGTGGATAATGGAAATACTTTAATTTTTATTATAAATAATATTGAAAACTTTTTAATTTGGAATTTTTGCAATTCTTAATATGAACGCAAATGTCTAGTATGTAGAATTTCTTAACCGTTCATAACCATGCGTACAAACTCTTCATAGTTGACATTTCCTTGTGAATCTTCTTGATTAACCAACAATTGCTCCACTTCTTCATCCGTTAATTTCTCACCCAAAGTAGTTAGCAAATGTCTCAGCTCAGCGGTTGAAATTAAACCACTTGCATCCTTATCGAAATGGCGGAGACCTTCGATGAAATCATCAGCAGTATCGCCAGAGCGCGCCTTTGAAATAGCTTGGTAAATGGGAAGAAACACCTCGAATGAGATACGTTCATCAGGCTTCAACTGATGAGTGCATTTCTTAACATCTGACTCAGTGGGATTCTGGCCCAAGGCACGTAAACATTCACCAACCTGGCTCAATTGAATTTTGCCATCTCCTCTGTTGTCGAACAAATTGAAGGCTTCTTGGAATTCTGTAAAGAAGAAGCAAAAGCAATAAAAAAAATGTTAAAACAAAATTAAATAAAATCAATAAATATTCTGTAACAAAAGCAAATAAAATATAAAATATTTTATTTCTCGCAGTTTGAAACGTCAACCTTCTAATGTGGTAAATGCATTTTTGCTTGGCGGTTCGTACATGTACATTTTTTTTTACAAATTAAACGTTTTCTCTAGATTTGCTGGCGAACAACAGCGCTAATATCGTTGCAGAAATCGACTAAATCATTAAAATTCTAGTCTACGACCAGGCACACATCGACATGTGTAAATACAAGTGGTTTTCTATGCAATTGAACTGCATAGGGTGGAAGGAGGAAAGTGTCAATGTGCATAAAAAAACAATAAATAAAAAATCGGTAAAAAGTATCTAAAAGTCAAATAATTCTCGAATTTAATTTAATTAAATTATAATATAAACATTTGTAAAAATGATTTAGATAGTCAAACAAAACACAATGTACACCCTGTATAAACAATATCTCGGCACAAAATTACTGCCTTAAAAGGTAAAAACGTCTTTTTAACAAAAAATAAAATAGAAAATTTAATAAAATTTATACGTAATTTAGCAATGTCGACAAAAACGAGACTAAATTTGGGTCAGCGCTGAGGTTTTGGAACTTAGCAACTCGAATGAGAATCACAGTCAGCAGCTTTAGGTATGGAATAATCCTCAACAACAGAGCGCTTATTTTGAGTTTTTGGGATGTATTATTTTATAATTTTTATTTGAAATAATATTGGTTTAATTACAAAAATTAAAAGAGCTGTGTAAGAACCCCCATTTCATCTCAGGAAGCCTTATATGTACATATATCTTCAATAGAATATTTCTAAAACGGGTAAGTTTTATTAATGAAATAATGTAATGAAATAAGAATGGGGTTCTGAAAAATAAAAACTTTCATTGATCATTATATGAAACCCACTTCAGTTTAATATATAGATTTTAAATTATTAAAACAGGTTCGATCTGTTTTAGTCCAAAACAACAGAAATAAATCAATCGAAAAGTCCAAATTAAAAATATTCTATACTATAACTTGCCAGTATGATCTTCCTAAAGTTTGATTTGATAATCTTTATACGATATAGAGATTAAGAAGTGCAAATTGTAATGAAGTGTTGGAAAATCTTGAAAAATGTTAGAAACAAAAGAAAAAAATCCGTATCACGACTTATTTAATTAATCAGACATTGAAAATAACAAAGCCCAAAATTCATTTCAAGTGAGATGGTTTTATCTTTTTCTTCTGGTTCCCCCAACCGTAGGCAATAATGATGTATGCGATGAGAGTATTTTCTCTCATCAAAAAATTTGAGATAAGACAATATACTACGTTCAAAATCAATACTAAAAATAATTTAATTAAACCATTTTGAGATATAATAATACAAGATCTCAACTTGGAATTTTTAACAGACTTTGCGCTATATGTTCTTATAACGTCTATCTTATCTTAGAATTCGAACTTATGGTTTTAGTCATTTTTTTTTTTTTGTATAAACATTATAGACACCATTTTCTTATCTATACCATACCATATGCTGAAAACCTTATGTTAAAAGTATTCATATTAAACGAATTATTCAAATGTTCACGACCTTTGATTAGCTTGAGATGCTCTCAAAGAGAGATCTTAGAAAGTATTTTAAACAATTTCTACATTATTTAATCAATGTAGCGAGATTATTGGTGCCAATATTTTCGTTAAAATTATTACTATTTATCAAACTCAAAATGTTCAAGGAAATTAATAGAGTACACGGGTTGCACGAACAGTCTACGTCCTGGAGTCACTCGTCGTCAACGACGACCAAGTACCGTTCAACACCCCCTAAAGGAGTTTCACAAGCAGGTCTCAGCAGGTTACAAAAACAACAACAATAACAAAAATTGTTTTATCGTTGAATAATTGTAGATACTAAAATGGTGGAATAGTTAATGATATTGACCAGGGATTTTGAGCTCGTATTACTTTAAACATATTTGTTTTTTTAATGCTCTTTGTTGTAAGAATTTGCAGAACTGTCTGCTTTGTTGCACTTTATATGCTTTTTTAAACTTTGCAGTTTGTTCAGATTTATACCCCAGGACAAAGCTGTTACATTAAAATGCTATTTTTAACGTAAATTTCTGACAGATATTCTATTCAGTGCTGTTCCTTTTCCACTTAGCGATCACTAACTACCTTTTTTTATTAATTATGAAATATCAAAAAAACAATATCACCGGCTTAACACAGCAATATATTTTAATATATTAGTAAATAAATTAGGTTAGGTTATACCGGCGATCTCTATTGGATCCACTTAGGCCTATTGGCTCATTGTGTTACTGTACATAAAGGAAAAATTCAGGGCTTAAAACCACCTAGAACATTTAGCGGAGCGAAAAATGCTATTAAGTGTCAGATTCTGTAATTGGTCAAGATCCTGAAGAAAGGGGGCTCCTAGTGTATTGAGTCGTTGCCGTGCATGAACTAATCTTCTAGCATGGTTCCCTAGTTTACAGTGACATGTAAGTAAACCTACCATAGGAATGATATCTCTATATTTGCTAATCAAAATATTTTTTGAGATTTCTACAAAATTCAAATTTGGAAATGTGCTTTATTAAGGAGTAGGCATCACTTAAGACACAATCAATAAGTGTAACTATATTTACTTAAATAAGTCAACAGTTTTTTAATAATATTTGTTAAATTAAGAGATTAAACCATAGCAACTTTATAAGGTATTTGTACGTCAAACTTTTGTTTTATCAACACAAAGTTTTATTAGTAGAAATCAGTCACATTTGACCAGCAATCTATTGAACTGATTACCGGCGTATCTAAGGAGTATAAAATTATCTCGGTAAAGTTTTGGCATTGCGTAAGTGCTTTTTATAAAGTATGCAGTGAGATAAGACGAAAAATAAAATTTTGAAAAATTGTATAGAGACTTTGTTGCATATTCCATAATAGAATACGACTTGTTTATTAATTTATGCCTTAAATGGAAATTCCATTCCACAAGTTGCATGCAACGATTTGGTATAAGTTTTGAATCAATCGACAATTGCAAAACACTTGAGTACAGACATTGAATCGAAAACCATCAGAACATAACTAAATTATTATGTAGATTCTGTAAATTTATATGAATTCTTATTTGTAAGCAAAGCAATAAATTTTATTTCTTTTTAATTCTCGACACATTTTGTTTGATTAACCAGCATTCGTACGATCGTTGCTTGTGTTGGTTTTTACCGTTTTTGGGTGTGCATTTTAATGAGTCATAAATGACAACAAAGCCAAAAAATCAACAATATCTTTGAGTCACTGAATAATTTGAATTCTTTAGCCGACACTCATCATGATCTATTATAAATATCACTAATTCAACGTTTTCAGAATTTTTTAACTAATTTCATATTTTTATTGCTTTCAGATTTTTGTTTGATGCCAACTTACCAGCCAATTGATCTTCTGAGTAATTTGCCTGTAAACAACAAAATATTTTATTTAACTTCATTAAAAATTGCACTTAATGAACATACCATTTTTTAAATTATTATAATTAATTTTAAGTAAAAACCTTAACAATAACTCCAAATAGTCGCAATTTTTCCAGCAAACTCAACTTTAGGAATGTATGTGTTCACTGCGGTTATCATTGACTTTCATTTCTTCGTTAAGTTGAACTTGCCGAATGTGCAATGTTGTCAAGTTTCAATATAATTTTTAATAAGTTCTTGAATATATTCAACAATTTTATTACACATAAATTTCCGTGAACAAAGTTGAGTTTGGCTTATTTTTTTGATTATATGTTATTGTTATATATATATAGCACAATGTTTTTTCAAGAATTTTTCTTAATTCTTATAAACAAATTTTTTACGTATCTGTCATACTTCAAAAAATATTTGTGATTAAATTAACACACAAAATATTCATTAAATATTATATTATATTCTAGATTTTTGTAATTTTTATTATTTGGTGTATATCATACAATGTTCAGACACACTTTAATTTCACAAAAATCTTAATTTTATCTTCGTTTCAGCGAAATTAAGTTATTATTTTCCATACAAAATTCAGCTTCGTTGAAACGAAGCCTAAAATTAAGCGATATTTCAAATGCAACTATCCGAAAGATAATTTTTGAGCAAAAGATAAATTTGAGATAACAAAAAAGTGACATTTTTTTAAAATAAATGTCAGTGACAGTTGGCTTTGATGACACATGGAAAATATTTTTAAAGTAGTACAAATTGTAAAATTATATATAGAAAGATAAATAGAAAAATTATAATTAACATACCTAAAATCCACTAAAGCTAATAAAACTACTGAATACCATTCTTTATAGTTATAATAATCAATTTTTAAAATTTAGCAAGTGGTGTTTGGAGCATGTAACATTTGATTTTTAAATAGAAAACATATGTTTTCCTTAATTTAGGGTAGTTTGAACACTTACAAAATCAACTTAATTCTATTTTTATGAAATTAAGGAAATTTGGCTGTCTGTATATAGTATATATGAAAGAATACATGTAAAAAATTAAGATATACAGTTTGATTAAATTATATTAATTCGATATGAGAAAAAAGTCATACAAAATTAAAAAAGAAACAATATACAATTACACCATGTTTCAATTTTTTATATTATATATATTTTTCACATAAGTATTTAAACACTAATTAAATCTATTTAATAGTTCTGACGATTATATCATATAACATTATTTTTATCTCAAATTACAATTACACTTTAATAATACAACCATTTCCCATACATTAAGTAAAATTTAAATGCGAAAATTATTTGAATATATTTGTATTGTTTTCTCGTACCCTAAAACTAGTAAGAAAAGAGAGTTTATGAGACTAAACAGTAATTTTGTACTGACTAAAATTTATTTCAGTTTTAATTGATCGAAAAAGAGTTGATTAGAACTAATACTTTCAATAACAAGTAGAATATTACGCACATAATATAATTATGCGGTCTATAACTATTCAAAGAAAATAAATATTCAAAGAAAATAGTAAATAGAATTGAAAATTTTCAACTTTGTAGATTTACTTACATAAAAGAGTTTAGCTAATTTATGAGTACACTGACGTTTTAAGAAAGAAAATATAATTGAATTCTTACTTTCAACTTTAGTAGATTTTTAAAAAGATCTAGTGAAATAAATGAAAGTGTAAATAGGTCTATTTAACGAGGTACTCATAGTAAAACTCAAGTAAAACATAAGTAAATTACAAACTGAGAGCGTACACAAATAAAGTTCCAAATTATGCTCTTTACACAGATCTTCACGGAACAGCTTTGTGTAAAATCTGGTGAGAATACCAGTGCCGCGCAAATAAACAATACAAATATTTAATTTTAAACCAAAACAGCTGATTCACACATCAACACAAATTTTACTTGAAATAAAATGCACGAGCAAAATCTGTGTGTCATTTTCAAATTTTGTACAGATTAGTACAGATCACGTGTCGCTTTTACAAAGTAAAAACAAAATTAGCAAAAATATAACCACTTTCCTGAAACTGCTTAACGAGTAGCCATTCGCATTACACTGGTGATAAATCCTAAAAGTGATCTATTGTGCATCATTATGGAAAAAAATGGAATACCCCAGTCAGATGACAAAGCAGTTTGTTTATTATTTATAACCGTTGAGAGGGTTAGTCCGTGTGCGTGTTCGAGTAAATTGAAGGTAAATTGAGAGAAATAGTAAATTATGTCAGTATGGCAGCGAATGTTAGTATTTACCAGAATTTCAAGTAGGGTAAATTAGATAAAAATAAGGTAAATTAGGTGTTACCATTGTGAGTATTTTATGAGTTAAATTTTATTAGTTTATATATTACCCTTGTATAATATTTTATGCAAAAAATCCCTAGTAAATTTCAATTTACTTCACCTCAATTTACTTGAACTCGCATACGGCCTTAATGAGTAAATTTAAATATTTTAAAATCAAATTTTTTAAATAAGATTTGTGAAGATGACTGACAGGTTAGTAATTTATTAAGGAATTTATAATTTCTGTATTATAAATGCAGAATATGCGGTATGAATAAATACAAAACACAATTGTTATAATAAAAGCAAAAAGTTATAAGATAATATCTTATTATCTTATAACAATAAGATATTATAAAACTTATTTTTAGTTTTATTGTAAGAAAAGATACAATATAAGTATTTAAAAAAAAAGAAAAATAAAACAGTGTTAAATGCTGCTCATTTAGCCTTAACTAGTGATATAAATGAATTTATTTACTATTTTGATTGCCTTCGTAAGATCTCGAGTTATCAAATATTTCAAACATTTGGTCAATACGTCGCTCTCTTTGCATTATCCTTATTTCACTATTTTTTGCGTTATCATGGATAAAGCTTAAAAAAGTGTTTACTTTTATATAAACTCAAATACAATATAAATTGATATAAAAATAAAATAAATATTTATATGATAAAAACTTTTTTATAAAATTAGATCTGTTCCATGAGCTACTCGCAGTAATATTGAGTAACATGATGTTTACATTGACCGAAAATGATTCATTTTGAATGAGACATTTGAAAGTGTTTACATTCGTTGTAATTCGTTTGTTCTCATTTCAAACAGCTGATTTTTCAACTTGCCTATTGTTTTGATTTTTGGCCTGTACAAAAAAAATGTTGCATGAAGGTTAAATATACCTTCAAACCTTAAAATATATACTGAAAACATATTTTTAACTTCGATTAAATACTTTTTGGGAAGTTGAAGAGGTGCATCGTTGTCAAAAAAATGTAACCATCAAACATTTGTTTACTTTTTTTTGTAAATATGTCAAAAACAGCTTTCTCAAACTGTCAAATTGCCAAGAAGAGCTCTTATTTAGAGTATGTTCAATGTACTCCTTTGTATTTGGAACGCATTCGAACATCTTAGGGATGCATTCATACAGAATGTGATAAAATGGATCGGATGCGCACTTGAAATGTTGTATGCAAGAATGAGCCATTCGCTTCTCATTTTTGATTTTTGACCAAAATGAGCTATTTTCGACCAGTGTAAATGCCGTATAACACTGTGTACGTTCCACCATCAAAATTTCGAGTAAATGAGAGCATCTGAGAGAGCGTAACATCCCTGTCGAAATTTGAAAATGCTACACAGACTTTACTCGTACATTCAATTTTAAGTAAAATTTATGTTGATGTGTGAATCAGCTGTTTTGGTTTGAGTTTAAATTTAAATTCTTGTATTGTTTATTTGCGCGACAATGATGTTCTCACCAGATTTCACACAAAGCTGTTTCGTGAAAATCTGTGCATAATTTGGAACTTTATTTGTGTTACGCTCTCAGTTGGTACTTGAATTTTACTTGAGTTTTATTATGAGTAGCTCGTGGAACAGACCTATTATCTACAGGTATTTTTGTATTTACATACATATATCAACCACAAATTTATTAACATTTATCAACTACATTCATTTATCAACAAATGTTCACTAATTTAGACAGTGATGCCAAGTTTTTTTAAGCAACGAGAAGGTGCACTATTAGAGCATTCAAGTAAAAAAAATATATCTGGTATTAAACTCGATAATAAAAATCTTGCCAGTGTAGACGCCAAGTTAATGTCATTTATTAAAATAAGTTTTATTTATTTTTTGTGACTTTAAAATACAACTATGCAGTATTCTATTACTACTGTTTCATCAACTGACAGCAGTAAATTAATAGAGAAACAACTGTCAACACTGTCTGAGAAAAAAAATAAACAAAGAAATATTGAAATTCTTTATTTCTTCAAATTGTTTTTAACTTTCGTCGTCGGTGTTTCTGTAGTCGGTGTCGAGATTTTCGCAAAGGAAATCATTTTTGGCGAAAATTGAGAATTCTTTTGTTTTTTAATTTTGCTTTGGTTATTAGAAAAGTGAAAAAGTTTTTAAGTGTAATATGAAGTAAAAGTTTAATAACATTTAAATGTAAAACTACAGAGAGAAGCAGAGTAAAATCAAAAATCAATCGTTATTACGAGGAAGAAGTAGGAAGCTGTTGCTAAAAAAAGAGAAACAATTAATCAGTCAAATAATCAAATAATCCTCAAAATAATAACAAAAGCGAAATACTAAGAAATAATTCAATGGGTTGTAAGGTTTATAAAGTGTGTAAAAGGGGCAACGCGAGTATAAAGAAAATTATATGAAAAAATTTAATTACGCATTTTATAAAAAACGAACGAAGCATAATGAAAAGTATTGCTTTAATGAAAAAAGTAACTTGAATTCAAACCGATTTTGTTTCTGCTTTTGCTAAGTCAAAATTTTATTCAAATAAAATTTTTAACTAAAGCTAATTTTCAGTTTCTAAAAAACCAAATTTCATTTAAAATGTCCAGCAGTGGTAGCAGCGCCACAAATTCTGCTCGAAGTCAACAGAGTCAACGCACCGAAGACGTAAGTAACTTATTTATTTTTATTTTGATTTCGAACACAATTTTATATACACATTTACTTTTTCGCCATTTATTTCAAATTGTTAATATCAAATTAGTATTCATACTTATATGAAACATGAACATATTGGAATGAATATAAATAAAACACTCCATTTAATCTGCTCAACAAATCGACATTTTTGCATTCATTCGGCTCGTCTTTTACTTTTGATTTTGTTGTTGTTATTGTTGTTGTTGTTGTTGCTGTTCTTTTGCTGAAATAAAAAATACGTTAAATTTAAATATTAAAAATAAAAC